AAGAAGGGAACAGAGGGAAGGCAGAGCCAGTGGGCTCCACTCCAGTCAGACTATAAACAGCAACAGACATTTCAGCCGTGTCTCGTGTAAGGGGCTCCATTGATTCACCAGGCTCCCCAACAGAGGGATGAGGAGAGGCTAAGATAGAAAGAGCCCATTCATTCATGCAGAACCCCACTCTCTGTCCCCATTGGCTGTCGCTAATGGCTTCAGGCTGATGGGAAGGAGGGGGAAGAGGCAAGCGGGAGGAGGAGGTAGAAATGAAAGAAAATGATGACTACAAGATTGTCATGAAGAGATGTACAGCTGCATAGGCAATTGCATGCAAATGTGGCTTCCCTTTTTAGCTGTAGAGTTAATGTCCTCAGATTCATCTCTTTTTCTCTTTCATGGTATCTGCCCCTCCCCTTCTTTTCCCTTCCCATTCATCTTTCAGTCTCTTGTCCTAGAGTTCCTCTGTCTCTCTACTAACACCCACTTTTCTTTTCTATTTCCACACACCTCTTCTTTCTTCTTTCACCAGCTATTCTGTCCAACTAATTCGTGACTAGTCCGGATTGCTGAGCATTCTGTTCCCATCACCTGATAACCTCTCCCCCGCCCCTCACATTTTCTCTAAGCTTTATTCTCTCCCCCTCCTCCCTCCCTCTACTCTTCCCCTCCCTCTCCGCCTCAGTCCCTTTGGGAACAGGAACAACATTCAGAGGAAGGACCCTCATCGATCCTCGATGGCCCCTCCTGCCGGGCAGCCCAGGCACTGACAGATGCGTAGTCTTGACAGAAGAGCCTACGTCCCTTCTCAGAGCACAAATGTGAGATGGAAGCAGGGCTGGGGAGTGGCCAGGAGGACGGGAAGGAAACTGAAGTTATAAATAGGATAAAAGAAGATGAAAAAAAAAAATGGAGCGTATTTTTCTCTCTCTTTTTTTCTTAGTCAACACATCTCCAAGGAAATGCGCTGCAGCTGGAGAAATCATCGACTGGTCCGTGTCTTCATCTCCCTTCCCTATAACCCAAGATCTCCTTCCAAAGGACACCCATCACTGAGGAGGGCTGGACCACAGCCCAGAAATAATCACTGCAACCCCTTCCTTCATCTGGACAGCTCAGAAGGCAAAGGAGGGGCTGGGAAGTCTCAGGGGTTTTGCCAGATATTTCCATCAGAAGCAGCCTAGGATACAGGGAACGATAGCTATCACATTCGCCACCAAAGCACCACTGCCTCATAGAAGCTGGCTAGAGTTTCTGAGATGCAGCTGGTGACAATCCAGGTCATTTTAGGACTGGTTATTATATGCCCTCATCTTCCCATCCTACCCAAGAGCCACTAATCTAGGTGACTCCTGCTTCCTTCTTAAAGAGGTAGACTGTGGAAAGTAGACTCTCTTACACCACCATCAGTCGTAGCATTTTTAAAACAGCTTCCCCCTAAGTAACCTAAATGTCCATCGACAGAGGAATGGATAAAGAAGATGTGGTACATATATACAGCGGAGTATTACTCGCTATTTGTTGTTCAGTCGCTCAGTCATGTCTAATTCTTTGTGTCTTTGTGACACCTGGTCTGCAGCACACCAGGCTTTCCTGTCCTTCACTATCTCCCAGAGTTTGTTCAAACTCATATCCATTGAGTCGATGATGCCATTCAACCATTTCATACTCCGTTGCTCTCTTCTCCTCCACTGGGGTCTTTTCCAATGACCGTTAGCAATTAAAAAGAATGAATTAATGTCATCTGCAACAACATGGGGGGGCCTAGAGATTGTCATGCTGAGTGAAATCAGAGAAGGAGAAGTATCATATGGCATCCCTGATATGTGGAATTTAAAAAGAAATGATACAAATGAACTTACAAAAGAGACTCACAGACTTAGAGAAGGAATTTATGGTTGTCAGGGGGGAAGAGTGGGGGGAAGGGATAAGTTAAGGAGTTTAAGATGGACATGTACGCACTGTTGTGTTTACAATGGATAGCCAACAAAGACCTACAGTATAGCACAGATAAGTCTGCTCAATAATATATGGCAGCCTGAAAAGGAGGGGAGTTTGGGGGAGAATGGATACATGTATATGTATGGCTGAGTCCCTTCACTGTTCACCTGAAATATCAAAGCATTGTTTAATTGGCTAAACCCCAATACAAAATAAAAAATTTTTTAAAATAAAGAAGCTTCATCCTGAGGTTCTTAAAGAACTTCACAGACATTGTCTCACTGGCCCTGAAGTAAAAACTCTTACCTTTGGGAAACTTGACAAGGAGGAGAATGAAAAATCATCTTCACTTATATATGTACTTCTTAGCTAAGAAAGAGATGGGCCATGCCTTTTTCTGATGAAAATGAGGTATTCTGATTTGAAGCTACAAGTGAGTGTGGAAATGAACTCAACTATTAAGAAGATGTATTCAGTAAATGTAAAACTGTAAATTGGTAGCACGCAGAAGCACCATCCAGAGCTGAAAGCGTTAAGGCAAGGCAGCTTTAATCTCTGTTGCATAGGGAGATGTAAGACTTCAAAGCCTAGTGGTGTGAATAGGATTGAAGAATTATACAAATATAGACAAAACCATTTTGATCTTTTGCTTACACAAACAAAATCTTTTTTTTTTTTTTTGGTTTAGCTGTTTAAAGGATCACTTTTCTCATCTCTTAAAACTTTAAGTCCTTAAGTCTAACCTGTACAACTATAAAATCCTCAGTGCCGCCTCATGAAATGGGTCAATAGCCGAGACCTCTGTGTTTATCCTTGGGGGGAACTGAAACGCCAAGCAGAAAGTGATGACACAAATGCTATCCTGTCTGAGATCCAAGGTAGTGCCAAAGAACACCTCCAAGATCAAGGGCTATTGAGTCAAGACAGGGAACACAAGGTCAACTTCATTCTGCCCAGGAAGAGAACCTGGCAACTGCAAACCAACTCCCAGCCTTCTCAGCCCCCATCAAGTGTTGCCACATCTCACTCTGCATCTGTCAGTGTATTTCGGTAAAGATACAGCATAGGCAACAGAACATCTTTTCTTTATTTCTCCACTATGATAAAAATACCTTGCCGTATAGTGTTCTCAGGTAAAGAGATATGGAACCAAAAAAAGTTGCATTTAAGTTAGTTTCCAGTGGCTTTTCACCTAGGCACTTCATCAGAACAGAGGATGAAGAATCTGCCTGCAATATGGGAGACACAGGAGACGTAGGTTCTATCCCTGGGTTAGGAAGATCCCCTGGAGGAGGAAGTCACAAAACCCACTCCAGTATTCTTGCCCGAAAAATCCCATGGACAGAGGCACCTGGCGGGCTACAGTCCAAAGGGTCGCAAAGAGTTGGACACAACTGAGCATTAAACACTCACACACAACGTGTAAGCGTCATGAAATTTCTATGCTAAGATTCGTCCTGGGAGAAAACAAATGTGGCTTTTTGGTATCTGGATATATTATCATAACCTGATCTCTTGAAAAATTGAACTTACTGTCAGAATCAATCATTTCAGGATCCCTAAATTAAGGTTTTACATGTTGTATCACAAATAAACCAAAAAAAAAAGTTAGCCGGTTAGCAAGGACCAGTGGAATTTGTGAGAAACACAATGACTCTGGCACAATAGAACGGGGGTATGGACTTTGAACTTGTCTGCTCCTTGGGAGACTGGTTCCTGTTCACCAGAGGGCAGCACTGTGAGCAGCAAGTCCGGAGTGAAAGGAATTCTGAGGAGCTTCTGTGAGGAAGAGTTGAGGAGAGAGGCAGCAGACAGAAGCCAAACGCGGATCAGGGCAGAGCTAAAGAGGATGATGGAAAGAGAAGACAAATGAAAGAAATTACGTCCTGTAAGAAGATTGACTATAGAGGACAAACGTATGGACACCAAGGTGTGAAAGGAGGGTGGGATAAATTGGGTGATTGGGGCCCACATATATATACTGTTGATACTATGTATGAAATAGGTAGCTCAGGTGAAGAACGCCTGCGATGCAGGAGATCCTGGTTCGATTCCTGGGTTGGGGAGATCTGCTGGAGAAGGGATGAGCTACCCACTCCAGCATTCTTGGGCTTCCCTGCTGGTAAAGAATCCACCTGCAATGCGGGAGACCTGGGTTCAATCCCCGGGTTAGGAAGATCCTCCGGAGAAGGAAACCTACTCCAGTATTCTGGCTGGCAGAATTCCATGGACTGTATAGAATTCCATGGAGTCATGAAGAGTCGGACACGACTGAGCAACTTTCACTTTCACTTCACTTCATGAAATAAGTAACTAAGGAAAACCTAACTCAGGGAATTCTCAGTGCTTTGTGGTAACCTAAATGGGAAATCCAAAAAAGAGGGGATATGTGTATACATATGGCTGATTCACTTTGCTGTATGATAGGGCTTCCCACGTGGCACTAGTGGTAAAGAATCCACCTGCCAATGTAGTTGGATTCCTGGGTTGGGGATATCCCCTGGAAGAGGGCATGGTAACCACTCAAGTATTCTTGCCTGAAGAATCCCATGGAGAGGGGAGCCTGGTGGGATAGAGTCCATAGGTCACAAAGAGTTGGACACAACTTAGCACGCGTGCACACACACGCAGAAACTAACACAACACTAAGACAACCATACTCCAATAAAAATTAAAACAACAGCAACAACAGCAAAGGCTGACTAGTTCACACACCCTCTGTCCATCTGGTTCGCACTTCATAATTAAAAACCTTCTAGGTCCTTTGTTAACAGCCAGGTTTTAGGGGATAAAACTCTGGACCAGCACCGTGGAGAGAACTATATACAAAATGAAGACGTAAAGAAACCCCTCGTGGGCCCTTTCCTAGAGTGTAGTCTTTCTGTCCCCGGAGAATAAAGTCTTTCAAAATGACTGAAAAGTTCTGGGACTTCCCATAGAACAAGAACATCCAGGACCCACCTAAGCCAGGGCCGTTGTGATGGCAATTGATACAGGATGCAGCCCACATCCAGTTGCCTCAGTCCCTCAACTCCATCCTCAGTCTCAGCCTCCATTTATGTTCCTACCTGAGCCATAGTGTTCAAGGCCGGTGGGCACTTCCTGAGTAGCTGTCTCTTCCCAGAACGGGTAATAAGCTCTTGGTGGATGATAGGCCGACTGGAAACCACAGGCCATTCGGGGATCTTCATAAGAGTTGAGAGGTCCCTGCCTCTGTGGCCAGGAAATAAAAGGAAATATATTAAGATTCCCTAATGGAACAGTAACTATCATCCATAAGTAAGAATTATTCATAGGTAAGAAAAGACTATTTTTTAAACTAATTTTTATTGGAGTATAGTTGCTTTACAATGTTGTATTAGCTTCTACTGTACACCAAAATGAATCCACCATATGTATACATATATTCCCTTCCTTTTTGAATTTCCTTTTCGTTCAGGTCACCACAGAGCGTTGAGTAGAATTCCCCGTGCAATACACTATGCAGAACCAAATATTGATCACTACCCTCCCCCATCCAAAAAAAAAAAAAAAAGGACTTAGGAATGGGAAAGATTTTTGACTTGGACTATGTATACATTTATTTTCATATATTTCCTCAACCGTTTGAAGAATTTTTTAAATTTTCAAATAAGGATCCATGGTTAATGGCAAGGCAGAATCTTGGTCATTTTTATATAATCCTGGCTTTTGTCTTTTATTTTTTTAATGTTACCTTAGTCTATAAAAACACCATGAAAGATATTCTTAGAAGACATTCCAGTATCATAGAACCCATAGGTGACAAATGCCAAAGAAAAAAACAAAAACTGTATTTACCTAATAAAATTGCTCTTTTTTAGTTAATCAGTGTGCATAAGTTTCTTTCTTTTTAAAATGTTTGTTTCTTTGGCTGTGTCAGGTCTTAGCTGAGGCCCGTGGGATTCCCCACTGCAGTGCACAGGCTTCTCTGGCTTCAGCATGTGGACTTAGTTGCCCCATAGCATGCGGGATCTTGGTTCCCTGACCAGGGACTTGAACCTGCATCCCCTGTCCCGGAAGGCAGATCCTTAAGCACTAGAACACCAGGGAAGGACCACCAGGGAAGTTCCGTGCCTAAGTTTTAATGATATCAATAGCTATATTAGAATTTTCATTTTTCCCACTTGGGCACTTATTCAATTCTCAGTTTTTGTAAAATCCATAAAATATACTCTCTACCCAGTACTCTCTAAGAAGAACAAATACAGTATGTGGGAGACCATGGTTTGCAGTGCTTAAGGCCCTGTTCTTTGAAGGCATGGATACATGGATTCAAATCCTGGCTCCATCACTTACTAACAGGGACCTAGGCCTGTTCTTCTATCTAAACCTCAGTTCACTCAACTAAAAGATGGGAAAAATAATACCTTCCTCATAAGGTAGGAGGAGTGAATGAAATAATACGTGTAAGAAAATAATACTGGATAAAGTTTACTCCAGGGCTGTTCTTCTTCCCAGTGGGTTAAAGGTACTGAGAATGGAATAAGACCCTGGGACTGAACAGGGTCACCCTGACTTGCTATATGTGTGGGTGCTAAGTTGCTTCAGTCGTGTCCGACTCTTTGTGACCCTCTGGCCAGGACCAGGCTCCTTGGTCCACGGGATTCTTCAGGCAAGAATACTGGAGTGAGTTGCCATGCCCTCCTCCAGGGGATCTTCCTGACCCAGGAATCAAACCCATGTGTCTTACATCTCCTGCATTTGTATGCTATTTGCTTAGTCACTCAGTCGTATCCAACTCTTTGCCACCCCATGGACTGTAGCCCACCAGGCTCCTCTGTCCATGGAGATTCTCCAGGCTAGAATACTGGATTTGTAGGCAGCTTCTTTCCCTGGGTCGGGAAGATCCCCTAGAGAAGAAAATGGCAACCCACTCCAGTATTCATGCCTGGAGAATCCCATGGACGTAGGAGCTTGGTAGGCTACAGTCCACGGGGTCGCAAAGAGTCAGACACGACTGAGCGACTTCACTTCACTTCACTTCACTTCTTTACCACTAGCACCACCTGAGAAGCTCCAAATTACTGAATATCAAAAGCTTATGTCCTTGGCTTCTGTTACCAGGCAGCTCTTGTGAGAACCCTGTGAATATAAACAGAGCAGTGGCAGTTCTGCCATTTGAGTTTGGGACCAAGATTGAGGAAAATCATCAGCAAGAACACTTCAGTTGAGCTTCCAGACAGCAAAAAACATTTTGCTAACATCGTATTTTAACACTGCAAGCTCTTGCAGCAACTACATTAAGGTTTTCTTTTGAACCCCGAGGATAAGCAGGTCTTCAACAATTCTTTACAAGAGAATCGGCTTGAAGCACATTTTCTAAATGAGCTGTGTGTTCTCCAAATCCATCCCCATTTTTTCATATTTCTCTAAAGTCTTTCTTCAAATTCAGTTTCAATTATCAGAATTTTAGAAACAGGGTCTGGCTGGGGAAATTTTGTCATTAAGTGGTATAAAGGAGGACTCTAAGTGACCTGGCCCTGTCCTCTTTAGATGATTTGCCTAAACCAGAAAGTCCTTATAAGAAGGCAGTGGGTGGTACCCGTAGGATCTTTGTAGACAGGTGGTGGGTGCTTTGGTCCAGGCCCTGCTAAAGTGGTGAGAACAAGAGGAGAACTTGAACTCAAGTGTCAAAGTTGAGGTTTTCTCTGCTAAGGAAAGACCCCAGAAGGTGAGGCATGGTTTGCAAAGAGACATTGGAGGAAAATGATGAGTGCCCTGTAAAGGGAAGATGGAGGGCAGGAGTAGGTGGCGAGTTATGGGTAAGCAAGACGATATTGGGTTCTAGACCTGGGCCCTCACCACGTGGCTGTACGGTGAGTCAGCCTGCAGCTTTGACAAACAACCACGTACAGCATCTCTTTGAGTTTCGTGATTGGCTTTATTTTTAGTGGAGTGCCTCCTGCCCCCACACCAGGTTCCTTGCTGTCAGGGAGGGTTCATTTATTATTTTATACAGGAAAGTCTATTTTTAAGATATATTTCCTCCTTAACTGTCCACAGTGGTGCCAGGGGACCCTATTTTTAAGAACGAGAAGGAGATAATGCATCAAACCTACCATGAACTACAAACATCTTTGCTCACAGAGGCTCTTGGGAGCATCATGACACTTGTTACCTAGACACCTGCCTTTTTGTTTGATATTTCACCAACTGACTTAATACCTATTTCATAGAGTATGAGAATGACATTTTTACTCAAGAGGACCACAGAGCCAGTTCCAATTCATTATGAAACCTCAGTTGAGGAGAAAGAAGCAGGTTATTAACAGGTCAGAAATCTGGACAGCAAAGCCCCACCTCCATGCTTGAAAAAGGGCACCACCCAAAACAAGTTCAAGTCAACATCTTCCTCCTGGCTGCTGGTGAACAGAGGCGAGTTCAGGAGATGCCAGCCACCCTCCCGACCCTGTCATAGTTTAGAGAACCCATCTGATGGGTCCTCAGTCATTCATCCCACAAGTGATTACTGAAAGGAACTAATGTAGGTCCCACACTGATCCATGCTGATCGATTAGCTAAACATGGTGAAGAGATGGTCACATTTAATCTTCACATTTAATCCTCATAGCTGTGCAAGATTCACTTTTTTATCTCCATTTAATGGAAGAAGAAACTGAGGTTTCTCAGAGAGCAAGTAAACATCCAAGGCCACACAGTTAGTAAAATAATGGAGATAGAATTCCCTGGTGGTCCAGTGCTAAAACTCTATGCTCCCTCTGCAGGGGGTCCGGATTCGATCCCTGGTCAGGGAACTAGATCCCACATACTGCAACAAAAACTGAAGATCCCATGTGCCAGAACTAAGACCCGGCACAGGCAAATAAATAAATAAATAGACATTTTTTTAAAGAAAGAGTTCTAGTTGAGACCTACTTGATTTCAGACTGCACACCATGAATCTTCTGTGGCCTGGATGGCTCGGGAAGGGAGGCCGCTGTCCCATGACAAAGTACTAAATGGATTATGACAATGGACGGTCATGAAACAAATCTGTATTACACAACCAGCCTATGCCAAGTATTATGTTAGATGCTTAGAATAAAGTATGAGCAAGACATGAACTTTACCCTCTGAAGTGCACAAACCAGTAAACAGGAAATTACAGCGAGGGGATGTGACAGAGTGAAGCACCGATGTGTATGGGCGAGGAGAGTGGCAGCAGGTAAGACTTCCTGGAGGAAGCAGATTAAGGTAATAACTGAAAGGTCAAGTAAGATTCAGCCTAGAACATTTGGAGAAGGGTCTAGAGAAAAAAAGATGACACTCCTAGAAGTGCCAAGGAACACCTACACCTATTTAAGGAAGAATAAAAAAGACTCAGAATGGTGACGAAGAGAAAGACTTGGTAGTGACAAGTATGAGGGGAAAGCATGCTCTTGGCAATGAGAATACCTGCAGTGGAGGGCAGTTAGTAAGAATGGAAGCTGGAGGACAGTGCTGTATGCGTGCATGCGTGTGTGCTAAGTCGCTTCAGTCCTGTCTGACTCTAAGACCCCATAGACTGTAGCCCGCCAGGCAATGATAACACCTGCAATGGAGGGCAGTTGGTAAGAATGAAAGCTGGAGGGACAGAGTTGAGGTTCATGAAAACCAGACCAGAATCTGGCTGCAAGAGAAAGGAATTCAAGGTGGTATTAAAGGTAGTGGCATGGTGAGCCAAGATGTTCTAGAAGGACGCATTTGATAGGGCTAAGTAGGATGGAGGGAGCAGGAACAGGCGAGGAGGCTGGCAAGGCAGCAGCCGTGCCCTGCAGAGCCATACTGGGGCCTCGGTACAAGGGAAAAAATCAGTATTACTGATCCTAACTGTATTTAAATTTTTTATTTCTTATAATAATTTTTGCATTAATTTTGATGGTCAGAAATATTACATTCAGGGAATATTAATCAGAGAGAGCTATCTCAGAGGTCCACAGCTCAACACCAAGACCTGGCTCTACCCAACTGCCTGCTGATTCCACAGCTGGAAACCTCAGGCCAAACAAATAGTGAGACAGGAACACAGTCCCACCCATCAAAAAAAAAGAAAGATTACCTTCAGATTTGTTTAGCTTGAGTACTGAGTCCGAGGGCAGCCCTTAGGCTTTGGCCCCATGTGAACTGAGTGGTAAGCCAGTTATACAGTCAAATACTCTATCACTGATCTCCACCCCCAACAGTCCAGTTCTGAAGAGTTGAACTAGGGTCAT